TCTCTACGAATGGGAGCTTAAGCCTTGTAGTACCACCAGCTCAAAATCTCAGTGGAATGGCAATCTTTTGTGTTGCCCAGCAGATCAGCATCACGCAAAGCTGCAGCATGACAGCTCGTAAGTGCATGGTCGGCAGGAATGTAAGCGTGTAGTATACTTCACACACACATCCGTATCTCTTCCTATCCTGTAGGATCCTGGGCAGGGTAGCAGTTGGGCCTGGAGCATATTCTGGGCAGCACAGAGGCTATGTTAAGTCAGGGTTAATCTGGGGAAAATCTGGCATTGAATGTTTTTAAACAGCTAGGGAGGTGAAGAGCAGCGTGTTTATAACTGTAAAATGCACGGCTTGCAGTGGATGGACCTGCCTTTACCACGGTTACCGCATATTTGGCTTACAAGTTTGTTGCTAAAGACAAGTTTATTAACCTAAAAGATATTTATTAGTAGAATTGCTTTCTTCCCCCAATCATTACGTATTTTCCTTAGATACGACCCAAGCCACTGTCTGTAAATTCAAAAACCGCCCATTTCTTAGACCATAATGCAGCCGTTAGTTCAAAGTTGCCTATCGCTAAGCCCAAAGGCCAATCTTTAGGTACTGACATGTAAGCCACATGTGTAGTCAATGGACTCCAAGCCATACATTTTGCATTTTTAAATGCACAGCTGCAAAGGCAAATTTAGCTTTACGTGTCACTTCATATTCATCATGTAACACACACAGTAAAACTCGAGGTATTTATCATTATTAATAATTTGACCATTATTAAATCCGGACTTGCATACCATGTCATTTGGCAGGTTACACAGGATTGTTTTGTTTATCAAACCACTGTGATAGCAGATATCCTTTGGCTATTAGTACAGTTCAGGTTGAGTATGTATGTAAGAGTGCAGATTGAGTTTCATCTTTGCATTGTTTGCACTTAAGTCTTTTGGCATTAGTCAGCCGTGTGTAATTTAACCATGTCTGTGGAAAAGCTTCCTACCTTCAGTGAATGTGGTGCCGGCTCA